AATTAGACCACGGCTGTTCGTACACAACTATTTTACAAGTTGCGCCAGCCGTTACTTTCGAATGATCAATATGCAAGCCGTGAGATAAATAAATTTCAACGGGTTAGCCGCAACCTTTAGGATTCGCGTCCCGCCAGGAGCGGTTGCCATTTGTCACGCACCGTTTGAAAACGCGAATGAAAATACGAAGAAAAAAAAAAAAAAAAAAAAAACGGGGGATCGATTCGATCTTACCTTGCTGCCGAATATGAGGCAGAGAAGCAACGTGACCGTGAGCTGGGTGTGACAGAAAAATATCACGTACAATAAATCCGGATTGGCTGGTGACTGCAAGAACAACCTGTAAACCGGAAACATCCCTCTGAATGTATTTTTTCTGCAGTGATGTGATAAACTTCGTGAACAGGTTATGCGAATTGTGTAAATTTTTTTGATATTTTTTTCTTACAGTAAAATGTTTCGTAATATTTTTTGAAATTTATTGGATTTTTCTTTTTTTTCTTAAATTATATTTCCCCTCAATTTTAGTTTAATTTTTCGTATATTTTCTCATGTTTCGATATTTCTAAGAAAGTTTCTTGGAATGCGAACAATCATCTTCTAACGGTCCAAGTTAAATTCTACGAATCGTATTTTTCCTCAGAGTTGATAAAACATTTCGATACAAACTGACGTCCATTTCTGCGAGAGAATTATTTTATTTTTCCTTCTCAGAAAGATACGCAATACATGTTGTATGTGTAGGATGTGGTAGTGAGTTAAAAATTTTGGATAACAAGAAAAAGAAAAACAAGAGAATAAATAGAGAGAAAGAGTCTATTATAGAATATAGATCCTAATTGGATGGCACTTGTGTAGTGCGTATGCGCATTATATCAAGTAGTAGTATAATGTTATAGTCAGACTCAGTACAGTGTCACAAATGATAATCAAGTATAGATATATAGCCAGGATAATAGTATAGACAATATAATATAGATTAATAGAAAGACATTGCTATTGAAATAAATATAATAATAGAAGCGTGATATAAGATCATTTGACAGAAAAATAGTATAATTGTTATAAAAAAGTAGAAAAAAAAGTATAAATATATTATATTATACTAGATTATGAAATTGAATGACTTAAACTTTTTAACAAAGGAATAACTTGTTGGAAAGTTTTAGTATTGAAATTTGTAAATTGTTTTTTTTAGATAATCAGAAATGTTTTAAAAATTATAATAATAATGTTACAGTGTCTATGATTATTTTCAAATTAATTAATTCTTTAATAATATTACTCGAGAATCAAATAAATTAATTTTAAGAAACTGTATAAAACAAATATTGAAGAAATTTAACAATTTTCATTTTTATTAAAGAAATTTATTCATTTATCACTCAATTATGGGCTTATTAAAAATTAATTCTTGTCCTATCTTAAATCCCATTTCTCAATTAATCATTCTTCAGCTCCCTCACATTCATTATAGATTTACATAATTAGATTACACATAATCTTAATCTCAGATGTTTGAATAATTTGCATTAACATCATCACATATCCGCTCCAAGGATTCCACTTCCTTTACACGACTGGATGTGTTAATATATGATGTTTTACCAAGGGAATTCCAACTCCAAGGAGAGAATCTTCAATCTTGGTAATTTTTCTGTATTGTTCCTTCACACGTATATTATAATCAAAACATAATTCCTTGATCCAGATTGAATCCAAATTGAGATCCATTGACATTCTGTTAATCTTGCATCAAATCCTTCTGCTATAATATAAAAAGAAACCATTTGATCATTATCACTCAAGAAACAACTATAAATATCATAAAATCTTTTCTTTGAGATATATCCATGGTTACCTCCGTTTCACAATGATATCATCTGTTACAACCTGATGGCTATTAATATTTAGAAAGCAATTTTTAGTGGATCCAGGCTGCTTTATTGCTTTCCAACGAATTGCGAACCGCAATATATAAAATACTAACTGTTGTAAATTATCTGAAAGTTTCACAGCCACCATATGGGCTTTCACGGTGCAAAGAGGCGGAATTTATCTTCTCCCCTCTCTTCGAATTTCTCGAATCTGTTCGCGGTTTGTTAAAATACAGTTCATACAGCAAGATGGCTGCTTACATCATTTTGCACCATCTTCATCTTCACCTTCGTGGCTTCGCGTGCCGTTTCAATTAATTATAATCAAGTTCTTCAAACGAAAGCATCACTTTCAATGGATGGATCTCGTTTTCCTTCTTTTTTTCTTAAATAAAGATTATTCAAAGATTATTTGACACGAAGAATAGCGTTGAAATAGCGTTTAATGAGCTTCCTTCTTCCATTCTTCCTTCATTAACTCTCTATTGCATTCCGTTCTCAATTGGGGACTTAAATTTCAAAGGTGTGTTCCCGCAGTGGATGCAAAATACGTACAGAGATGTAATAATTGTACATAATAATAATAATAAAATTTTATGACTACACTCATTTTTTTAACTAGACTAGACAGCCATATATATTTTTTTCAACTCGTCGTTCAAAAATTCATGCAATTAAAAACAATTATCCGGAGTTTATTGGCCTATTTAAATTAAACATATATTTGATTTTCAAACGTCGATTTTTTTTTTTACTGCTTTTTTTTTCATCCCTCGTCTATTATTATTAATTTCAACCATTGACCAATAGAAGATCTTAATTATCGCTGAATTATTCGAAGCTCTCGATCGAACCAGGCTCTCCATTTATACGATTTATCTTTTGTTTTTATCAACATTAAACGCTCCTCCTTTCCATCTTCCCATTTTCCATAATTAAATATTCCTCTCTCCGTCGATTATTCATCGCCTTTTATATAATTAGCAACAGACAAAGCACTCGTTAACGAATATTCAAAATTCAAAAAAAAAAAAAAAAAAAATTC